TCCAAGATGGCCGGGAAGATGCCAATGATGAGCCTCGCTCTGGACGCCCAAGCACGTCAACAACTGATGAAAACGTTCAAACAGTGAAGAAAATTGTTCTGAAAAATCGTCGAATCACTATCAGAGAAGTTGCTGAGGATGTTGGTATATCGCTCGGCTCGTGCCCTGAAATTTTTTCTAACGTTTTGGGCATGAGACGTGTGTCAGCGAAGTTTGTTCCTAAATTGCTAAATTTTGACCAAAAGAACCGTTGCATGAGCATCGCTCGAGAACTGTTGAATGACGTCAACGACGACCCAGATTTACTCAAAAGGGTCATAACTGGTGACGAATCATGGGTATATGGTTATGATATCGAAACCAAAGTCCAATCATCCCAACGGAAGAGCCCAGATGAGCCAAAACCGAAAAAAGCACGCCAAGTTCGATCAAATGTCAAAGTTTTGCTCACTGTTTTCTTCGATTACCATGGCGTGGTGCATCAGGAGTTCTTACCATATGGACGTACGATCAATAAACAGTATTATCTTGAAGTTATGCGCCGTTTGTGAGAAGCAATACGAAGAAAACGCCCAGAATTGTGGAAAAACAATTCATGGCTTTTGCATCACGATAATGCCCCTGCTTACTCATCTTTGCTTGTGAGAGATTTTTTGGCCAAAAACAACACCACAGTCATGCTTCAGCCACCATATTCACCGGATTTGGCCCCATGTGACTTTTTCTTATTCCCAAAACTAAAGAGACCTATGAAAGGACAGAGATTTGCAACGATTGAAGAGATAAAGACTGCATCGCTGGAAGAGCTCAAGGCTATATCGAAAAGTGCTTATGAGAAGTGCTTTGAGGATTGGAAAAACCGTTGGCATAAGTGTATTGTATCTGAGGGGGATTACTTTAAAGGGAACAACATAAATATTGATAAATAAATAAATATTTTTTTTTAAAAATACAAAGTCACCTTACTTTTTGAACACACCTCGTATCAAAAGAATACTGAAACTGGTGAGCTGGGGTTGATGATATTTTTTAGTTAGTGTACCTTACCAACGATCCACGTGGACGTAGTTCTTGAAGTTATAATAACAATACGAGTAATACATTAACTTCACTATCCTTAACGGGATCATATAAGACTAGTTCTACGTCTTCCGTGACCCAAGTAGTTGCTACTTGTAATTTGCGTGGATGCTGTCAAGCCGAGTAAATCTGTGGGTATATGCACGTACCACTCATACCCGGTTTGTTTGTTTGAGATACTGATCCACGAAGTCGGGAGAGAAGAGTGGCGCTGAATTTAGTGAAGTGTAGAGGTAAAGATGCGCAAGAGGGGGGAGAAATAAAGAAATAGGAAAGAGAGTAAAGAATTTGAGCAAGTGTCGCTTTTTTCATCTGGGCAGCAGCAGCAAGAGCTTTTTTCGGCTGGAGTAGTAGCGACAGTGAACAGCTGCAACTGCAGTGACAGTGAGGAGTGACATGAGAGGTAGCAACAATAAGCGGCCTACAGACGCAGCAACAGTAGAAGGCAACGGTAGCGGCAACAGCGTAAGCTCTCTCTCTCTCTCTCTCTCTCTCTCTCTCTCTCTCTCTCTCTCTCTCTCTCTCTCTTCTCCCTTGTTACCGTGTGCACGCATCACTTTCGCGGGCGTCGTAGTTTTCGAGACGAGTTGACGCTCAACGGTGAGCATTAGTGCGACCGTTGAGCGATTTATGGTTCTTGAAAACAATCGAAGACGTTCACTATTGCGCGAGCGAACATTCGTACCACTTGATCACTCATACATCAGAATTAGCGACGAGGACTTATTAAATAACATCTGTTCTGTTTTTTTTCGGTAATCGAGTGAGTATAATTATGTGCAATTGAAAGGCATGTGCGACAGTATTGTAATTGAAACACGTGAATAAAAAGATTATGAGTAAAAATGAATCATTATACAGAAAAGGTCTGCATTAAATTTATTTTTAATAAAAATCTTTTAATAAAGTTCCGCCAAAAGTGAATTTGGTAGTGTAACGGTCCAGTCTGACTTGTCTCCTTTCCTACTGCAAAATAGCAACCCGTCGTGCACGAGAAAACTAAAGAAAAGCGGTAATTGAGCGAAGGCGCTCTTCTCACATACATGTAAATGTGTTAGGGCAATTCGTGACGTCACGAGCGTGAGAAAATTATTGTTTACAATGCAAAATCGATAATTTCAAAGTTTTTTTAACGAACAAAAGCATTTTTCAGTATTATAGCGATTCAATATGTATTTGTTAGCTTAATTTAATTTTAGTAAATATTGCTAGTAATTTTGCAACAAATAAATATGATGCAAATTTGAATATACAACAGCGACCTAGCATCTTAAGACAGAGAAACAAGAATTTGACACTTTGATAACTAATTTTTCACTGAGTTATGAATAAATAAAAAATTTATAATTTATTTAAACAATTAAAATTGCATTGCTAGATAGCGATTCGACTGTATATATCTATAAAATTAATGATAATGATTGTTACTAATTTGCTGATTTTTAAATTGCTAAAATCGAAATTTACAAATTCGTTTTTTAATTATTATTAAAAATTGGATAGTTAAATTAATCGTTTTTATTTTGAATAATGTTCCACTAATCACCAGCAATTTTTTTATGTAAAAATTTTCCGTAAATTTATTGTAAATTTTGTGTTATTTAAATATCAAAATTATATCACTTATAACTTTAAAAGGCGATTTTTCTTCGAGAAACGATTTATATTAAAAATTTGTTATTTCATAATTAATTTTTTAAATCATCAAATTTCCATTTCGATCGAGTCATTTTGCGACAAAACATGTACAAAGTTTATGTTAATTTCAAAAATAGCGTTGTAGGGGCTACCAAGCGTAGAAAGGAGCCGTGTTCGCAAGTATAAATTCGCTCGTCGTTGCGGCAAGAGGATTCACTATCCTACCTTTCTTAGCAGCGCGAGCATTGAATTAAAATAAAGACTCAGTAATTTCCTGAGGCTAATTTCATTATTCAGTGGTTAGCCTGCTAATTCCTTTCCTTACGATATCTAAGCGCTCAACTTATAAGGCTCTCTCTCTTATAAGAAAAAGTAGTCTTAGATATCTCCTCTCTATAAAATCATTAATTGCCTAGAAATAGAATTGAGTGTTTGTTGCGGCACTGTCCTCGATAAATGCAACTATACTCAATTATATTTCAAAACGGTTCATCGAAACAGCGAATATTGTATTTGCTGTTCGGTGAATATTGAAATTTTAGTTCTTTTAGAGTGTATGCGTGTAAACTTCTTGCTACTCTCGAAAACGCGATTACAAATATAAAAGAAAGAGTTCGAACTATTTATTTGACTAACGCGAGATAGAATCAAAAGTTACAGTAGTTACAATAATTCGTCTGAAAGTATAGAAAGTAACAGTGAATACTTTGACAAAGTGGCAGATCATGGAACTTTAATGTTCTGTTTAAAAATTGATGATTAAGATATTTTCATCGAAAGAGTAGAACTAGTACTTACAGTTGAAGATATAAAAGAAAATAAAATAATTTGTTGGCATAATTATATGAAAAATCGTTTATGTTACTAAGAAGTTTCAATACACCAGATAAGTCGGTAACAAAGACGTATGAAGAATTAGTTGAAATCATGCGGATCCATTATTAATCGGTAGGCAACGGTTAAAATAATTTATGGCCATTTAAAATTATAAATAATAATCAGATGAATAGTTTAGAAATTAATAAAATGATTGCAAATAAATATAAATATTTAATTAGTACAAAGCCAGGTATGATTACTAAATGTGACATTAAACTACATGTGAAAGAAAATGTTAGATCGACAGCATTAAAGACGAGACATGTGCCGTAGGCGTTAAAAAAAATTAGTAAAAAAATTGATTTTTTAATTAAATATGGATATTTAGAAAAAATGAAAACATGCGATTGGGCAATACCAATCGTACCATCTGTATAAAGATTGACGGTAATGTTCATATATGTGGTGAATTCAAGTTAACAGTAAATCCTTATTTAGCTATAAATAAGCATCCGTTTCCTCGTATCGATGATATTTTGAAAATTTTACAGGGAGAAAAGACGTTTTTACAGTTAGAATTGAAATACGCATCTATGGAGATACCGATACATGAAATTTCGAGGCAATATCTTACGATCACAACACATTTAGGTTTATTTGAATATATACATATATGACGAAAGGAATTGCTTCAGTCCTAAAAAATTGAATGCAAGTATGCTAAATTAAAGAAATGTGGTTTGGTTTAAATAAAGATGAATGGAAGAATAGACAAAACTAGATGACATAATCACAGATTAACGTGAGAATAATGTAGGAAGCTCCACTTCCCATCCTAAGCTCTCTTGTACGCGAACGTAGCAACCTGCACGCCCGACAGATTGCCAAGAAGTCGAAACAAACTTTGCTTCCCGAATTCCCGTGTAATAATTTGTAAATAGAGTCGTGGGCTAATAACAATTTCAATTTATTAAATAATTTGATTCTCTCTTTACAATTTAACCTGTGATTTTTCATGTTGCTACTATTTGATATTCTCGTATTTTTCTATTTTTTGTTTCTCTGGTCTTTTAAATCATGCTGATTACATTTATTTTTATGGTTTGTACTTAGTTCCAAACCAATACATCATCATATGAATTTATTTTGCTAAGTTTACATGTGATGTTATAATCATGACCCGTCAATTTAAATTTCTACTACTGCACTGTGGTATTATTATCTGTTGATTTTTGATCATTAACAATTACAAATTTATTTTCATTGATGCATTATAATTAGTATATTATTATTTTCATAGATGCATTATAGAAATTGCAGAATTCTATAGATATGAAGATTTTTTCCGTGTTTTCTCGAATTCGGGCTTTGGGAGGCCACAATCTCTTACTGTTAGTGTTTGTTTGTACAACAAATGAAGACAACAGAAGGTAAAAATTTATATTTATAAAATTGCTACATACCTGATTGACATTGTTTGAATTGGTTCTATATTCAGCAATAAGAAACAGAAACAGTTGCTTAACATTCCAGTTAAACAATGAAGTTAAATGTAAAAATGGTGTTAAGGAATGTCAAGAAAACAGTTGATATGATTAAGTACTAAGACCTTATTATATATTGGGATAAAAACCTTTCCGATATTTGTAGTAATAATTAACGTAAGTCACGTATATTTATAAAGAAATATCGATCTTCTTAAGAAATTCAGCATGACCTCAGTTATTTACTGATACTGTTTGTCACACCTTTACTCGCGCATATTACATATCATATATATATATCGCGCATAAATCAATTGATATTCATAAATCTCTCCCATTCTATCTACACGCAACTTTTTTAATGATAAAAACCAGGTGAGTAGGTTTTAAAATAATTAGTACTGTTAGCAAACGAAAAATATAATGATTTAGCTAAACCATTATGATAATTTAGAGAAAATCCTCACAGCAACTTCATACAGGCAAATAGATTACTTCGAACACATTAGTTTGACAGTACACAATTACAATTATAATGTTGCAGTAAAGAATGATTTGTTTGAAATGAATTTCATTTATAACTACTCGTACTAAGTCATGAAATTGATCGTTTCAATGAACGACAGATCAATATTACATCCTATTTCTTCGAACCTCGGACTCACACGTTCTTTTGCTGTTAACTGATTGTTCATAAGAGTCGACTTTATAAGCCATTAATCCCTTTATTAGCCAGATCAATCATCCCGTACAACGACATAATAATCATAATTATTTGATGTTAAAGTAACGTCAGTTTCAATCAATTTACTTGCTTGCAGAAAACTGATTAAAGAACGTTCTATACTTTATTGTAATATTCACGAATGAGTGCGATAAATGTACTTGCCTGTATAAAATTGATTTCGCAACCTTCATAGTTCACTATAAAGGTTTAGGTATATATTATTATTTTTCATATTATAACGACCAGCTTCCAACTCGTTGTGTCGCTCTCTCTCTCACTCTCTCTCTCTCTTTTTCTCTTTCTCGTTCTTTCTCTATGATAATTATAAAAGAATCATGTAATCGAATGCTTAATTTGTTACAGCGCAGAGCAAGCACCAGTAAACTGGTAAGTGACGGGCCCTCACTCGAGTAACGGTTGCTAGTCTGTGACGCAGACCTCGTGGAGAGACGATCGTCTTGTGGGAAGAGGAAGAGTAGGCACGATTAGGCCGTAGCTGACCGGCAAAGGAGTAGCGATTGCATGAAGAGGACAGTGACAACTAGGATCGTGACTCACAGATGATACCGAAGGATGGGATCCCTAAATACGTAGAATATCTAGGTGCATTCGCGAGGATAAAAAAAGGAGTACCCGCCGCCGGACAGCTAGCTATCGAGAAGCGAGGGTACCATTATTAGCCTAACCGAGCGAGCAGTATAAGTACCCGCTCGATGCTTAGTTTTCTCTCTCTCTCTCTTTTTCTCTCCTTTTGCTCATCTATCGTCGTTTATTTTACTACTACTCGCGCTACTCAAACCACTTATGGTTTACCTAGTTCTGCGTTGCGCATTGAGTACTGTAATTTGATATTCGTCACCACTGGGGAACGCAATGAAGTTAAGCACGTCCACTAGCGCATTCGAATTCAGCGCGCCGATTATCAGTTGGTGTAACACACAACGCCGTGCGAGCAGACATCGAGTCCTCTGGTGCACAATACGCATCGCCTTTAGCAAGTAGCATGCCGCATAGTAAACCAAACACCTACGCTGTACCGAGGAACGAGACGCACACGCGTCGTTTACGCTTATCCTGTAATTTTTCGTTCGTTTACCTCTATGAAATACACTGATCACTTGCAACAATATACACGTGTTATCATTTTGGCTACCGCTCCTGCCTTTTACTCGTTTTGTGCCTGCTTTGTTGTTCGAGCTCAATACCTCTAAATTTTTATCCCGAGTAATAACGCAGCTCACGACACTCTCCGCGGGTCGATTTTTTGCAGCTGGAACGAGGCTCATTGAAGCGGTTGGACCCGGATTACTTTTACGCAAGAGCACGAGTGGTTCCGGAGAGCAACCTTGTCTACCACCAACCTTGTCCGTGAATCAAATTCATATGTTGAAAAATATATACATAATAGTGAGATTTCAATGTCTATCAACTGGTTTTTATATTACACAAAAAGTGTGAGGAGGCTGTTTCCTTTACTGAATTAAGATTATTAGTAACTATTAATAATAATTTAAGAATTATTTAATAATATTTGTAAAAATATATATTATCATGTGTAGATTGTAAACACTTATGCGACATGCAGTATTTTTTATTATTTCTAAAAATAGCTTTTTGCACTATAATATTAGGAGTATCTTTTCTAAAGCAATGAAAATTAACTTCATTGATTATTACTAAATTAATTGTATCTTTAAAATTTAATTTACATTATCTTTTTAAAATTTTCAAATTACAATATATACAACATTTTTCTATTTTTCAAAACAACAAATACAATCAATTTTTATACTTAGAATGATCTATTCATATCATATTTAACCCAGGCCGACAACATTTAAAATTGGAAAAAACCCAGAGACGTGACTACGTATACCCGAAGACTTTTGATGCGCTGAATCCAAATCTGATGTCATAATTCGTCCATCACCTCTGGTTCTTGAGATATTCTAACCAAAAAGTGCAAAAAACACTGTTTTTTGCTCACATTGAGGCTACGTTACAGCTCAAATAACTTTTTTTTCCAAAACCGGATATACCACTTTAAAGTGTAACTTTTATCCTTTGAAATACTTTTTCTAGACCAGGAAAATCTTTTTTTTTACCAGATATTATTGATTGAAGTTTTTTATTTTAATGATTTCGAGAAAATTGAGTTCTGAGGGTCAAGGGTTATTGTCGTACAGGTTACAGGATCTGTGGGTTAAGGAAATTGGGTTGTAAGAGTTCAGGGTTATTGCCGTGCAAATTACAGGACTCGTGGATGAAGGAAATCACCAAATCTCGGATCACTTGCATCCAAGTTCAGTTTTTTCAGTTTCAAAAAAGATTGAGTAAGAATTCCTGGCATTTGAAATCACTCTCGAAATCACTAAAATACAAAACTTCAAATAACGATATCTCGGTGAAAAAAAAAAATTTTCGAGATCTGGAAAGAAGATTTGAAAGAGTAAGAGATACACTTTAAGGTGGTATTTCCGGTTTGGAGAAAAAAATTTATCCAAGGTGTGATGTAACCTCAAAGATAGCCAAAAACAGCGTTTTTTTAAGGGTTTTTTTTGGCTGTCGGCCTGTGTAATTTACAAAGTGAATAAAATTGTATATGGTACATTGCTCTAATGAAATGCTGTCTAATTTGGAAATTTACAATTTCAGCTTAATTCTATCCTATTCTGTTTATCCCTATACTTCTAAGGCTTTTCGCGTACCTCGCTCACCAACGGATTATAGGAGTAACTTTCTCTTTTTATTATCAATACTCTTTTTTGCTCTATTACTGTTTCTTAAAAAAAACCATTAAGATGTATCAGACTTTTACGTTCTAAATTAGACACTTTTTCCAAAACAATTACCTGTGTAATGTTAATATCCTACTAAAATACTTCAATTCAATTGACGATATCTCGATGAAAAAAAATGGATTAATTTAAAAAATAGATTTTGAAGGGTAGAAGTTATCCTCTTAGTTAATATGAATCGTTTTTAGACATTTGAGGGGCGAGCTGAGCAACACGTGCTGAATATCGCCAAGTGTTTCCCGAGAGCAAAAAAAGGAAAAGCATACCGGAAAAAATATTTAAAAGTGAAAGATCTGTTGGGTGGATAACTGAGAGCGACGGATAGTGGAAGGAGCTATAGAGTTAAAACGTAAGAAGGAAAATTCGGACATCACACCAAGAAGTGCAACTTGAGGTTAGAATGTCGGACACGGGTACGCCTGATAACCAGACGCCGGCAAAAGCCGAAAAGGCGAACCAGCAAGAGCTACCGAAAAAGAAAAGAGGCAGGCCAAAAAAGATAGTAGAAGATAAGGAAAAAGAAAAAAGTGCGAGTGACATAAGACTATTTCTGGAGATAGGAAAAGAGCAGGACGGGTTCAAGAAGAACGACAAACTACCAAGGACACCATCGAAAACGGAGGACGAAAGAGCAAAAACTAAAACAGACAGCGAGGATCGGAAGCAACTGGAGGAAGAGGAGAATGAGGGCGACAATACATCGAGTGAAAAAAGCAGTGAAGGGACACAGAAATCTTTATAGTGCATCAAAAATAACAAAGGCGATGGGATTAAAAATCAAGAAAACCAGAGCACAAGCGAAAAAGAAGCAGGACACAACACACCGTCGGTATCGACGGAAACCCGCGCAACAGAGGATAAAACAGGAAACAGCACTATCTGCGCAAAACAGGGAACCGCACTTTGTATAATAATACAAAACCAACAAAGAAAACTGGATCGAGAGGAAACGCGTAATGAACAGCTGACCGAAAAAATAGATAGGCTCATCGAAGAAAAAGTCGAGGCAATGAGGGAAGAAATGGAAAAAAGAGTAAAGCAGTTAGAGGAAAAAGTCACGCGAGTGGAAAGTGAAAATAGGGGCTTGAGAAGTAAGATAGTCACAATGGAACGTGAAATAATGAAATTGAGAGAAACTACAGAGCAAGAAGGGAGTGTAGTAACTACGCGCAACGAAGCAACAGAGAGGATACCACAAGAGCAGCAAGTAGCAGAACACACAGCAAACAGCATCAGCGAGAGCAGCGCTAACAGCGAGCTGGATGGGATTAAGCAAGATGGAAAACCGGACAACTTATCTAAAGGCGAGTACGAATTTGAATTGAAAGAGAGAAATTTAAGGAAAAATAACATTTTTTTGAAAAGAGTTAGAACCTGCGGCGATGGACTCAGGCAAGAGATGCTACAACTACTATATGATACCACAGGCGAGGAAATGGGAATTAGGAAAATGGTACCACTTAATGGAGGACTATTATTGACTCTAGGAAGTTTGCGGAGTAAAATATTAGTGATGCAATGCAGGGCCAACTTCGAGAGTCTG